ATAATTTTGTTCGGCAGAATTTAACGTACGACTTGCGTATGCAATAGGTAGGTCCTGCCCGATCTCACCTTGACTTAAGACCGCACCAATCGCATGGTCTGAAGCGTCGGTCGTCAAAATAAATTCTCTTGAAAAATCTGGATATTGAAGTAAAGGTTCATTTATTAGAATTTCTTTAAAGGTGTCGAAAGATTCTTGACATTCTTGAGACCAAATAAAAGCAACATTTTTCTTTAGAAGATTAGTCAATGGTTTAGCAATTTTTGCAAAATTGTTGATAAATTTACGATAATATCCAATTAAACCTAGGAAACTTTTTACTGTTTTTTGATTTTTAGGAATGGGAAAGTTTTTTATTGCTATAGTTTTTTCTGGTTTTGGTTTTACTCCTGATTCAGAAATGATATGACCGAGATAAGAGATTTCTTTACGGAGGAATTCACATTTGTCGGGTTGTAACTTTAAATTATTATTTCTGAGTCTGTCGAAAACCGCTTCAAGACGTGAGACATGTTGATTTAGATCTGATCCATAAATAACTATGTCGTCTAGATAAACGAAACACTGTAACACTTGTAAACCAGTAAGAACTGCATTCATTAGCCTTTGAAAACAAGCGGGTGCATTTTTTAATCCAAAAGGCATTCGATTAAATTCCCAGTGACCTAAAGGTGTAGTGAAAGCGGTTTTTGGTTTATCTTCTTCTCTCATTGGAATCTGATGGAAACCAGAAGCCAAATCGAGTGTGGTGAAATATTTACTATGGCCTAATTGATCTAAAATTTCTTCGATATTTGGCATTGGATATGCATCACCAACTGTAACTTCATTCAATTTTCTAAAATCAACCACTACGCGCCATTTTTGTTCCCCCGAAGCGTCCATTTTTTTTGGTACTACCCATAGAGGGGCAGACCAAGGCGATGCAGACGGTTGAATTATTCCCTGTTGTAACATTTTATTGATTTGTTTATTAACTTCGGTTTTATGAATTTCTGGGTATCTGTACGTTTTTGTATGAATGGGCTTAGAATCAGAGATGTTTATTTCATGTTTAATAGTGTTAGTACAACCAAGAGTATCTCCAGGTAGAAAGAAAATATCTTCATAATTTTCACAAAGATTAGTTATGAAGCTCTTTTCTTCTTGGTTTAAATGGTCTAATCTGAGATTTTGTTTCAATAGTTGGCTCCTATTTTTAATAAAATTATTTTCAGTACTTTGTTCCGAAGCAAAATAACAGTAGCTTTCTTTAGGAATCTGTTCTAAATAGATTGAAATAGGTTTTAATTGAAAATCAATTACTTTTGAGTTTAAGATTGTTGCAAAAGCTTTATTATTTGAATTTACTTTAGTCAATGCTCGGGATAAATAGATTCCCTTAGATATTTCCATATCTGGTATGATCCCTTCTTTTATTTCCGGGTTTAGAACGTTGATTTCTATTATTGTTTCCGTACGAGATTTGAGAACAAAATAAGAACCAGTGTTAGGATTAGCGTTTAATCCGATAGGGATTTGAAATGGCAATGAGTTTAGAGATAGAGTTCGTTTTTTAAAATCGATTTTTGCGTTTTGATCTTGAATAAAATCCAATCCAATTAGACCGTCATAAGGGACGTTTGTAGCCTGATTTAGTATGTGGAATTTTATGTTCAAAATCTGATTGTTAATGTTAAAAGGAATAGTGGTAGTTCCAACTGTTTGAATTGGAGAATTAGGACAGAGTCCATGAAGAGATATTTTTTCTGAAGGAACAAATTTAGTTATCTCAGGATTGAGTTTGTTGGCTTTTATCAATGAGCAGCTTGCACCAGTATCAAGTAAAAATCGGAGTTTTTTGTTTTGATTTTTTGAATATTTACTTTCTAGTTCAATGAAACTTGAGCTATTTTCAGCAAGAAATATTGTTAGTTCTCGTCGTTCTCGAACACCGCTAAAGTTTTGAGATGATCCTCCAGTGAGGTGTTCGTCATTGGAGGAGCGTTGGAGTTTAAAGAATTTGAATGACTTGGTTGATAATTTGGTACATTAGAATTGTATTGAATTGAATTAACGTTCGCGTTCTGCCTTGAATTCGTATGAGGTGAGTCGCGAAAAACTGGATTATGATTTGTCGAATTTCGATAAGGTCTTCTATTAATTTGATTGCTCGAGTTTTGGTTTAAGTTTTGAGAATTAGAGTTTTGATTCCTGTTATTATGTTGATAGTTTGAGTTTTGGGAATTAGAGTTTTGATTTCTATTATTACATTGATAGTTTGAGTTTTGGGAATTAGAGTTTTGATGAGATTGGTTAGTATGCTGTCGATTAACATGGAAATTCATCGAATTATTAGATCTTCCTGCATTATTATTATATTGTCTTTTTCTACATTCTTCAATAACATGCCCTTGTTTTTTGCAGTAACGACAAAATATCTGATTATTCGTAAACAAAGTTCTTACGTTTGCATCATGATTTCTTGTTTTGAAACAATTATTTGTAGAATGCGAGTTGTTTTTGCAATTTTTGCAAAACTGAGTTGAACTGCGCGACATAGCCACAGCGCGTTCTTCAGAAATAGCTGCACTATACGCAGAATTAATCGAATCAAAATCTTTCCATCTCAACATTCGCGAAATTTCGGGTTTCGAATGATAAATAAATCTATTTAAAGCAATTTCGTTCAACATTTTCAGTTTTCCGGGAATCTCTTCCGGTTCTGTGCAATTTTGTTGAGTAGTAGATATCAATCGCGAGTTAATTGTTTCCAAACGTTGAAAAAAGTCTTTCACTGATTCGTTAGGACTTTGTTTGCAATTATTTAGCTCTTCCATTAATTGAACGTAATGTTTTTTTCTTGATATAAAGTTTTTAAAGCGTCTTTTAAGGTATCCCAATTATCAAAGTTTTGGGTAGCTAACTGTTCTTTAGCTTTGCCACCGATTCGAGATAAAATAAAATATAAAAGAGGATTTTTCTGATCGTCCTGTGCTAATACATTGGCATTATTACAATTCGCTAAAAATTGCCCTAATTCAAGACGATTGCCATCAAAACTATTAGGTATTAGTTTGCATAAAAAATCTACGGAAAACCTACCATTATTTGGGTTGGAATTTGACGAAGGAAGTTGATTAAAAATGTTTTGAAAAGTTTCTAATAATATTGTTTGTAGGTCTGGGTTTACGGCAGGAGGAGTCATAGTGGCATATAAGTATTAATAAAGGAGTTAGACAAACAAAAGTAACCTCATTAAGAGACAAAAATCACTTACCAAAAAACTTGAAAGCTAGTGGTTACACAACAACTGTGATTCAATCCAATACTGGTCAACGCTGATGATAGCTTTGGCTGACTATGGTATGTCTTAAATCTTTGTATCCAAATCCTGCTGGATCTTGCTAGATACTTCTGAATCGTACCGACCGCGCCAAAATCTGTTGTGATCCTTCAGTGTTTTGCCTTGGTTAAAACTACTTTTGTTTTTGGTTTGAAACTTGTAGCTTTATTAGGTAATGGAATATAGAATGAAATTGAACTACAGCAAAAGTAAGACTTATTTTAGAGAGAGTTTTAACAAAATGTGTTACTACGACTGAAGCTGTCTTAAGACTGTCTTCTTGCTTCACTAGATCTCTTACAAATCGACCTTTACATCCCGTCTAAAACGTTTCTAAAACCTACATAATTACAACTGGAAAACCCTAAATAAATATTGGCAATAAATGACAGTCTGTTCGCCCAAAGAATGACCATTAAGGATATTTGGGAATTTTGGGGTTTATGGTGGACAAATGTTTAATTTATTTACATACAATATCTTTGGGTTCTTTAACAGAAAGTCTGGGTCATATAATAATATTGCTTTCGGCGACGGCGAGGCATTATTTGGGAATTTTGGGGTTTATGGTGGACAAATGTTTAATTTATTTACATACAATATCTTTGGGTTCTCTAACAGAAAGTCTGGGTCATATAATAGTATTGCTTTCGGCGACGGCGAGACATTATTTGGGAAAGTATTCCAGGGTCGTAAAAGGTACAATGTCATGATATTATGGAAGAATATGACACCTGTTTAGTGGAGTCATTTTTTTTTGTCTGGCATTTTGAGGGATGAATGTGGCTAGTTAGCTGATGAGAATATAGGTGGTTTTAGTGCTTGCCACCTGTTCGAAATCTCCACAGAATGTTTCGCCGGAAAACTCGACTTCGAACTGGGATTACCGTCTGGCGATTTTTCAGCGATATTTTCACAACAAAACCTTTCATTCTCTCGATTACCAGACAAAAAGTAAACGCGGAAGGTTCTTTTCTTTTCTCTTGGAAGTTGACACTCATCCCCACTTTTTCAGCTATTGAAAAGCATCTGGTATTTTTTATGGGTGAATTATTTATCAATGTCAATCTTTTATTTAGATGCCGAGAAATTTGAGATCAATAAAAAAAAATTCCTCATGTAAATCAATTTTTTTTTTCTGCAAATTTTCGAACGGGAGGCAGGCATTAAAACCACCCATATTCTCATCAGCTTAGTAGCCACATTCAGGCCTCAAAATGCAAAAAAAAAATGACTCCACTAAACAGGCCCTATCTCACAGTCTATAAGTGACGTTTTACAAATGAGTGACAAATAAAATTTATACTCGATGTTCCATAGGTTCAGGACATTTTAATCGCTTATGCTGTACTTCGTACAACCACGCGTTGCGCAGTTTTTTGAATATAGGTGTAACAGGACAGTCTTGCTTGATTATAGTAAAATCTAAAATTATGGTCTTAAATCATTTCGTATCACTATGGTCTTCTGTTTTTGGGTAATTTCATGATGATCCTTTAAACAATATGGTGTTGAAGCTAGTGAGTTAGTTTGGGTTGGGTTAGCCGATTTTGACAACTGTAGGAGGCATGGAAATAATTTTGGTATCATTAATGCCTTAGTACATATTTATTAACTAACAATAATTTTTAGTTGCATTGTGACTTCAATAATTTCAGCATAAACTAAGTGGTACCTATTGTGCTTTAATTGTTCTAAAAATCCTGTTCTTTTTGGGTCTCAAATAGTAATCAATAATAAGTTCTACAAAAAGAATAATCCAGCTTAATGTAACTCCGACTATGAATATGAAAAAGGCAAAGTAGCACTCCATAAGTCCTACACTGACAAAAATTCCACTTTTGCTGCATTTGGGTAATTTGGAAAAGCTTCTCGTATGTTCTCGGGCGTAGACGCCAGTCTCAAACATTTTGTGAAACCTGAAAGGAATAATAAAACACTGAAAAAAACGTTTTAAACACGAAAGTGGAAATTGCTCGTTGTGCACCTGTCACTATTATATTTTTTTCTAGGACTGCATACGTTCTAAATGTTCCCGTGAATATTGTTATGCTGGTACATCTGAAATAATCGGCAGTTACACAAAAACAATGTATTGGCAACTTAAATGTATTCACGTGAGTTCCAAGTTCTGATTAGATTTCAGACCTATTGAAATGCTTTTCGTTTTTGAGATACAGAAAATTGTTTTAAAATTTCAGTTTTTTTTTTTTTTTTTTTTCTCTTAGCAAGTGTCTTTATTTCAAACTATCCTCCAATTTTCATGTTTGTAGGTCAACTGGTATAAGCTGGGGTGTAACTCAATGGCACGCCGCGGTCAGTTTAACCTTTACAGGCTAGAAAGTGGACCGAAAAGGAATAGGTCGATTGCGCGTAGACAAGATATTAGGTACCTACCTGGTGGTAGGTGAATTTTTCGAGTTTTATGATGGGCCACAGGTTGCCAACTGTTGAAATTGGTTCACCCGGAGATTTTTCCGCTACTGAAATAAAAATGGCGTTTCCCAAAAATATGTTAATTGAAACAGCAAAACAAGCAAAAATAAAAAAAAACAAAAACTAAAAATCAATCACTACAACAAAGTAAACACTAAAATAAATCCTATATAATGTTGAAGAAATTTTTTTGACAGTTTTAACAGTAACATCTAATTACATTTTCATATTTTTTGCCATGTGAAACAAATCACCCAATCATTTCAACAATAATGTCTTCTCAAATAATATATAGGGTTGCCTCGATTTTGATGGCCGGAAATGATGGCAGCCCTCATTGAAAGTCGATCGCGCGGCGTTATTTTGCTTGCTGAATACAAATTTTTGAAAGTGACAGCTTTCAAAGTCACTTTTAAAGTTAAAAGAGGATTCTGTGAAGAGGATTTTGCATACGGCTGTAGGTCTTTAGACAAAAAAAGAAACATGAAATTGTGTTAATAAAGTGTTTGCCGCATATGATGAGAACCCCCTACACCGCAAGGTACCTACTTCTTATTTGTTGCGCTTATGGTTTTGTTCTAAAGTATCTTTTTGTAAAACAACTTTACGGCCATGGGAATCAAGGCAACCCATCCATTTGGTTAAAAGGTTATTATGAACTATTGTTTTATGTAGAAATTATCCATTGCAACGATCACATACCCGTTAGTATTGCCGGCTCTTGGACTATTAGTTTTATAGGTTTGTTCCAACACAGCAAAATCTAAAATTTGTGCGTAGACACAGAAATTCGTATACAGAGTGCTTCCGAAACCGTTCATGGGACGGTTTTGGACGTGTTGAAACAGACCTATACTATAATACCAATGCCCTCTATGCCGTGCACAATTTTGCAACGTGTTATGTGGTCCGATGGTTTTAATTGTTTTTTAGAGGTTAGGTGCCATATTGTGCTGTGCTCTGTGCAGTAAGCTGGTAAAAACATCAAATATTTGCCAAAAAACAGTTTAAATACCCATATAATTTTTACAATATTGCAAAATATTTCGAGATAAGTTTCAGAGTTGTTTGTGAATTCTGTATATTAAATCAAGGGAAAAAGTCAGGGTAAGTGAACAAACATTATGCATAGAAAAGTTAGTTGATAATTTTTATCTGATATTTGAGTTTCAATACTAATAAAATAGGTATAATGTCGTTAACTTTAGATGACCAGGCACTGCTGCGTCCTTGGCTGTACTTCAAATTATGCAAGTGCATTAAAACATGATGCAATGAAACCACATTTTCCTTTCCAAAAGAGGAACATATTCGACAGCAATGGATTCGCTCGATTCACAGGGACAATTGAGAGGTTTCCAGTGGTTCAGTAGTTTGAGAAAAACATTTTGAAATATCGGAAATAATAAGAGTCCAAACAAACAAACAAGGAGTTTTGGGTGTATTTCCACTTAAGAGGCCAAGATTAGGTGAAGGTGCAGTGCCCCATATTTTTCCTTATCAGCCTAAATATTTGTCAAAATCTCTAGCGACTTCTAGGGTTGATCCTGAAGAAAGGAGAGAAAAAATTCGAGACAAACTACTTCAGGAAACACAGACTTTCTTTAAAAGTGAGGAAATAGAGAGTTTTGCGGAATTTCTTCAAATTTTTAAATCAAAAATCTGTTTAGAACATTTGGATTTTAAAGTTAAAGGAGGAAAGTTTACTTTTTTTTTATTAAACCTGTGTGTCGGTGACTTGGACTGTGAAGAAAGTGTTAGTGTTGTTTCCAGTATTATTATTGACAATACACTCACTGTATCTGTTATCAATAACAATAGTTGTAGATTATGTTAGATATTAAAAAAATTCACTTATTTTTATTTTTCTAATGTACCTAAATTACACAATAAAATGATTGAAATGCCAAAAATTGTAAACACTTTTTCAAAATTCTTGTTTTTTATCCTCTTCATACCTATATTCTGTTTAAATTCTCAAATTTGTTCGCCGCGCTACCAGGCGGCCGGACACCGGACCACTTGAAGTGAAATATGCAGCGTTGCCATTTTAACTTCACGGCTATGGATGAAGGGCTTTGATAATACGCGACAAAATTTCTATTAAGCAACTGGAGGTTGGAATGTATTGTTACGATGTTGCCATGCCATTCAAGTTGCATGAATTTTTCAGAAAACATGTTTTATAATTTTTATGTAACTCCAACGACTCTACCCGGAGAAATATACATGTAATCCGGAGCTTGGATAATTACCATGAAAATTCGGAGACTCCGGGTCAAAACCGAAGGGTTGGCAACCCTAGGACCCCTAGTGCCTTCAATAGAAAATAATTATTCATTTACCCACTTATTCTGTTCGGAAGAAGTTTACGTGCAATATTTCGAAATGAAGACAATACTAAGGGCCGGTTTATTCGCCTTCTGATAAACTGTCAGATATACAATCTGACGGATAAAAACGTAATCTGTTATCTTATTGGTCGGCCAGTTATCCGCCGACCAATAGAATTATAGAACAATAAATTTATCTTGCAGATAGTTACCAGCAAGTTTATCTAAACATGAATAAACCGGGCCTAAGTGAGCGCGGAAAAAATTATTAATAGTCGAAAATTATACTTTTCGTAAAGACAGGGAAACTATGTTGGGTGTTTCATATCGCTGCACGAAACCTTGTACAGAATAGAAGATATTTATAAATGTTTCATAAAAATTACAAAACACAATCAAAAGGAAGGCCCCGTAGAGGATACATGTAGGGACAAAGAGCATCTAAAATCATCAATACTGGACTTAAAGAAGCTCCCACACAAGTGAACCTTATTACAACACAAGACCTTCATAATATAAGAAAAGCGTATATCCATCATCCATCAGCAGGGCCGCCGCTACCATATGTGCAAAGTGTGCACCGCACACGGGCGGCCAAAAATAGGGGCGGCCAAAGCAGACCCCACTGATGATACTTTTTCTTTCCAAACAACAAAAAAAATTAATCAAAATTAAATAATAATGATTCATTCATTCATTCAACAATAATTATTTCATAAGCTTAGTCTGCTTAGTCTACATAGAAAATACTGGAATGCATGCATTTTATTTAGGTATCTAATAGTGGAGTAAAATCACAGTGAAATTATGACTTTGAGTGATTCCGAGGTAAGTATAACCAGATGAAACCTATACCATCTTGTAGAGGACACTTTGGGGCATAAGAAATGGGAATGTACAACTTTTTTTAATAGGACTGAACTTTGAAATCGGCCCTTAAACGTGACTGAGCTCGAATTTGAAAAACTATGTTTTTCTAAACATTACCCGCTGTATTAATTTAAGCATACAATATAAAATTCTGATTTTTTGCACACTTATACTTGAAACATGAGCGCTTCGAATGACAGTTCATAAATTTCGAAAAGGTTCAAGGTTTTTTTGTTAAAAAGTTAGGAATATCGAATTATCAAAATCGTGCATCTAAAACTTCACCCTGCGGCGAGCGATGTGAATTATTGAAAATTTCTATACATATAATATATCGAATCAAATGTAGTAAAAACATTGGTGAAGTTTTCAAAAAAAAAATTAAGGCTCTAACTTTAACGGTTATAGAAATATAAATGTTTATCCAAGAGCCCTGGAGAGCCGATTTCAAAGTTCAGTCCTATTAAAAAAAGTTGTACATTCCCATTTCCTATGCCCCAAAGTGTCCTCTACAAGATGATATAGGTTTCATCTGGTTATACCTCGGAATCACCCACCCTCAGAAAACAGCGAGTTAGAGCAGTGATTTTATTCCACTATAAGGTATCCTTCTTTTTTTCATCCTAATCCAAACAGAAATATTATTGTATAAGCTCTGTCTAACCAAAGTTGAACGTTGAAGGTCACTTACTCGAATATATCACAGACATTGCTTTTTGCTGCTGTCTTTATTGCATGCGCACTGTGTTTATCAAATCAAAAAAGGTCCGAACGTGTGAATCCTATGGTTACAAGGATGAGTAAGTGACCTTCAATGTTCAACTTTGGTTAGACAGAGTTTAGTATCTAGCTTTGATACTGAATTGCCGAATGTAATACCATTGTATAGTAATACCTAGCAGTGGCGGCTCGTCAGGTGAGACAGTGCCTCATTTGCTATGGAAGATTTTCCAAATGTTTTTTTGAAGGCTTAAAATAAACGTTTTTGGGCATGGCACCCGAAAAAATTGTATGCCTCCGGCGGCGCCTGCGGCGGGTTTAAGCACCCCCGCTCTAAAGTGAAAAAACCTAGGTAGGAAGGCGGCGGCAAATATTGAGTTGCACACGGGCGGCCAACACCCTAGCGGCGGCCCTGTCCATCAGCATTTTGCCAGTTTTTACCACGATCACTGCAAGACGCCCAATAAGTTCTAGATAAGCTGTGCATGGATAAGTAGGTATACCTATTTTTTTTTAAATGTAACACTGTCATCTTGTAGAGGGAAAAAAGTGACATTTGT